GTAACATGCTATGGATAGGCTTAAGGCTTAAGCATAATATATTAGCCTAAGCATAACTTTGACGTTATACTTTACATACATGACATGGCATAAGGTTATCTTTGAGTCTGACAGCTCGGTCTCGGCTATGCTATGCTGTGCTGTGCTGTAGCAGAGTATTGTGGAGGGTGCAGAGACGGACTATGGGGAGAGCAGAAACCTTACCAGTTTTGTATGATACAGCGTGTTTATAGTGGTTGTGAAGAATTACAAAGTTATAAAGATAGATGATTACATGAAGTCATATATTTAGTGCTAAGGCTGTCGAACATGACACACTTTTACATATTAACTGCATTTTATAAAGAGGACATTTCATTTTCTTTAATGCCACGAGGGTTACTTAGGGAGTAGATGTAGATATGAATCAGGAAATCTTACGAACGAGTACCCGATACTTTGGTGCGGACCCTGGGAATTGTCTGACTTTGAAACGAGGTTGGTGTACAGGGAGGGGGAGGGGTGCGTGATGGCTTTAATATATTTGATGTTTGGAATTGGGAATTGGGGACTGGGGATGGGTGATTTGTGAGGTTGGGGACGGATTGGTTAGCTTTATGAGGTTGTTGGATAAGATGGATGGATGGATGGACTTTCATTTATTCAAGAGTGATGATGTAGTATAGTATGGGCTGGTTTTGGAGTGGGAGGGGTGGGGTGAGGTGAGATTTGGAATCTTTCAATCGATGGAGTTCCACGAGATAGTTACTGGAAGCGGAGGTAGATCGGCGACAGTCTAGATAGAGATAATCGTGATGGCGATTCACTGCACCTGGTATGTGGCATGGGTGGTATGAATCAAGAGAGCAAAAGTCAGAGTCAGAAATCACATGTTAAGGATTCGAGTGATTGAATTGATTCGAATCAAAAGTACTCGTATCCATCCATCAGTAAGGCTTTCCTTTTCAGAAAAGAAACCCCATCTTGCTCGTAACTCGTACAAAGTCAGATGCAGCGATTTCTCCGATGCGGAGTGATGGTTTACTTCCGCGGTAATACATACGATACGATAGTATACGAGCGGCTAATTTATTTGTGTTATTTGTTATTTGTTTTTTGTTTTTTGTTCTCTGACAATCATCTACTGTTGTGGGTAGTTATTTGTCGAGAAAAAAGCGACTCCGAGTTGGTTTGTTTGGGATGGCAAAGACGTTACATTGTGACTCTCCTCTCTTTATCCGTGGCTGACGATGGAGAATAAATTCATACCTGTCTACCTGTCTAACCATAGTCTCGGGTTTCCGATCACACCACACTCTCTGCTTACGGACTCCGGACGGAAAGCGCTTACTGATAAGGATGGGGTAGGGCAGGGTAGGGGATGAGTGTGCCCTGAATGGATAGGTATGCAGCCTTACTATCTTACCATCACGAGATGAGAGGTACCTCCGTACCTTGCCCACTCTCGCTTTCGGCTTGAAGAGATACCCAGTTTTGTGGTACGGATACGAATACCTAGTATGTTGCTTATGTAGTTGGTTTCCGGAGGGTTTTTTTTATCTACCGGTGGGTTTTTTGGGGGGTGGGGGAGTGGATAGAACAAACTGTTGGTTCCAACTTCTGCATTTATGAGGGGTGAAAACTGCGGTTTAATGAGAAATCATAAGGTTGCGGTCCTCAAATTAACCTCCGCTACCGCCGCATGCAGATAGTCACCAACAGTCACAACATAGTGGCGAATAGCCGCAGCCGAGAAAGCCGTGTTGGTTGTTATGAGTCGATTCTCCTTTTCTTGTGCATAGATTTTGAGAATGAATCATTCGTTTGGGAATTGGGATGGGATGGGAAGGGTGATGTGACTGTGATGGGAATGCGGGTCGAGAGAACACTTGAATATGGATGTTTACGAATGCTGGTCTGTCATGATGACGATTAGATAGTACGTGGTTGAAGTTGTAATTTTACTTTTACCGACTTGAATCGTGTTGGATAACTTCGCGTGTGCACTTGAGGAGATGGATCACAGCGGGAACGGGGTTGGAAAGCTTTCGTTGAATGGGTGTAGTGTTTACTGCTCGATCGATACCATTTGTGTCTTGCCTGACTGTCGATTTCGATGGAATGCGATTCCGAGTCTGATAGTGTCAGTCTGGATGCAGGTAGTTCTGTTGTTCTAGGCCACGCCTTTCGTTTTCCAAAACAGGTTCTGGCACTCCTGCCAAATTCGATTCTATCCTCATTTTCATGTGCTCCATTTATGGATAATTGAAGTAGTACTTCTGAGGGATATATACCTGCATAACTCCTTCATATCTCTCTGAGCATAGATTTCCGCACTTCCCGCACTCTCTGTAGACAATGATGTAGTGCGGAAAGAATAGAGACTTTACGGACGCGTGCGTGACTTAGTGGGCTATGATTTAAGGGGAAGGGCAGATAGATAACCACGGGTTTGAAGCAGCATAAATCATCATAATATCTTCAGTATGCTTCACAGAGGCCAAGCGATCTCTTCAGAGAAACATGAATTGATAAATACAAACTACCTTATCCCGAAAAAGCTCACTGGCCCATCAGCTTGAAAGTCATGAGAAAGAAAGTTCCAAACATGCTCTGCATTCATCTCCAAATCTTGATAATTCCCATACACTATTATGCACCTGGAAAGGATCCATCACTACCATAGCAAAAGATAAAAGTCTCATGTAGCCTCAAAGCTGGTGCACATCCATATCATCAAGACTACCAACAAACTATCTCCATACCTCTCAGCTATTTCTGTTCCGCCATCCTACCACCGCATCCCATTAGCAACCATTGAATGAATCAAGAATGAGATACGGCGTAAAGAGCCTACTATCTTACCAAGCAGTATTAAGAGCACTACAATGACCGTCCTTACAGCCCTCACATAAATCCTCATTGTGCGGACCCTTGCTTGTTCCAGAATACACCGGCGTATCCATCTCAATTCCACTCCACTTCTTAATCCGATAAGCTATCCTGTCCGCATACGAATCATCCAGAATGGGTTGACTGAGAGTGTTACAGCTCTTGCATCGCTGATGATACACTCTCCCATTATATTTCGCTCCAGAATACATACGGATTGTGATCGCAATTTTCTTACTCGACCATCCATGGGAGGTGCATGCACGGTTGCGACATATGAATTTCCCCATGATGTTAGTGTCGTATTGTTCGATACAGCTGATAGAATCGTCGGTGGGGTAGAATTCGAAATGGAGATCGCTCTCTGCTAGTAGGCGTGCTACGCTGTCGTGGAGTGATGGGTATATGGACCATCTGTTTTTGGGCGTTGGTTTTCTGTATGGTCGCCAAGGCATATTGATTCTGCGGGTGATAAGAGTAGGTAGAGGAATTTAATTCAAGCGATTTCAGATCGAGCAAACCCTTCATTTCCTGTTAGTTTCCAGTCTGATGTAAAGACAAGTCCATTACCTTAGCCTTTCATAAAACACAAATGATAATGGTTGCACATCCAACAATACCTACTGATAGCAACCAAAGATTGAGATTACATTCGTGAATACTTGACCTCTGTTCTAAGGTGAACCAGAAGAGAGGGAGGCTGCGACCTCTTATTAAAAACAATCAAACAAACTCACCTCAACTCAACTCAGCTCACCACCAATAATATACTTTCCACTTCACTCACCCAACCGGAAAAGAAATAAGCCTCGCACAACATTCGTTTGCTCTGAAATAGCAATACCACCTTATCAGATCTAGTCACCTGCTGCTAGCCAAGCTACCCCTCTTTCGACGCGGTCGCACATACACCGCCCACCAGACTCGCAACGAATCATTCTCCGAGGCTGCTCAAGCTCGCAACCAGTAACATCTGTCTCCATTCAAATATTAGAAATATGATGAAACTCAACGGTGAGACGCGCAAGCAACGCGGATGCTAGTCGTGCTTTGGGATTCCAGCACATCTCTAGGTTACATATCCATATTCCCATCCACACAATCCATCATTCCTTCTGGTGATGCATGGCTATGTGTGGCATTCTGATATCAGAGCTCCAAGTGTGTTTGTTGCATGTGCATTTTTCACACACGACAAGCAATAAATCCTTGCGTAAAGACTACCTACTGAGGTACTTCTCAAAAGATCGAAGATATTCGATCTCCTCTGGGTAAGTAATTTACACACAGGGCCATGCTCCTTCTTTTCATCAATAGGTACCTAAGTAGTTACCATCGACTCAATCATGTAGATTCCACAGTCACTTATATCCATATCCATATCCATATCCATATCCATAAGGATATAGATATACATGTATCACTTAATTAACTTTACATCCCTTACAAAATTAAACTATTCCAGCTATCGAAATCGAGTTCTCGTAAAATACAAAACAAAAAATGATCCATCAAGAACCTACACCCAATCATATCTATATGACAAGTGAGCAATGCGCTACAAATCTTTCATCTAGCAAGACACGTAGACATGTATCTCGTGGGAAAATGTATATGTTTGGGTAAAGCAAATGCGACTAGCACGTATTTCCAACATGATAAATATTCCATGTATGTATCTGCTCTTCATAACTCATATCGTATCGTATAATTTCATACAATCTCATATGTATCGTTGCCGACACATTCATTGAACATCTATCAATTTCTTACTTCTCACTTCACCACTTTTCCATTTTCTTCCCCAGAGTGATTTCAAATGTCCCAATCCAACTTTCCCATTCTTTTCAATAGAAAGTCAACACCCAAACACCCTTCTCAACGCTATACACCCATCCATCAAACAAAACGAAACAAAATACAACACCAACTGACAGCTGTAACTCAAATACACAATAGGTATACAACAACCATGCCGCCCGCTCCTATGCCTATGCTTATGCGATGTAAACGTGAGATCGAAAATGAGATATATATGCCAACTCCATCTTCCCATAAACACCCTCCTTTTTCATTTCCCATACAATCTCGCTAAAAATGCAAACCAAGTGGTACCAATGCCCAACTCATCAGCCCTGCGAAACCCCTAATCCAATACCTTTTCCTCTGCCCTTTCTGATCACCTCCATTGCTCTCCCCACCGCATTCAAATCCCCTAACAAAGTGACGTGCCCTCTATCACTCCTGACCTTCCCTCCCTTAATCAACTGATAGCCTTCTGGCAACATTGCCTCTTTCGCTAGACAAACTCCATCCCCACTTGCAAAAGCCAGATTGTCATAAACGTCTGCGCACGGGATCCCTTCTTTACCCGCGACCTTCGCTCCATAAACCGTGGGTATCGACTTTCCATAAATGACTGCTAACGGAGGGTAGCGATTTGCTTCCGAGATGTCGGGTCTGTGATGAAGTTCCTTTTTAAATTGAAGTGTTTCGACTAGCGTACGTCGTAGATAGGCAATTGCTTTGTCGCGGGGAAGAGTGACAAGAGTGGAGACCGAGGGAGCGGGGTTATAAGATTTACCAAGGGAGTTACCCATTTGAGGTGCAAGGGTACGATCCGTACCATCTACTCCACGGAGAGCTTCTGCTGCTCGACTAGTTTTGGATTGATCGGTTGATTGATATCGATCATCATTTTCGTTGCGAGAATTAGAGCCGAGGTATGGTGAAGAAGGTTGAGGGGTATTTGTACCGGAGCCCGAGCCCGAGTTTGAACCTGAGCCAGTTTTCTTTCCAGTTATCGTTAGATTTGATAGACTGTTTGGTAGTTGAAGATTGAGAATACTGCCAAGTCCACTACCAGATTGAGAGATTGGTGGTAGTGGTGGATCTGTAACAGGTGACCAGCGATATTTGATCCAATCATCCAAATTGAAAAAGTCGACGGGATATCTTTCTCTTGTGTGGAGATCAAAGAAACACTCCCCATTTTCAGGAAGGAGTACAAAACTAGTCCGTAGTGTAAAATTGACTTGAGCGGTTAATACTCTTGAACTCAATAGAACAGCATCTCCATTTCTAAAGGGGCCAAGAATGTTTATACATGATTGTGGAACACCAGCATATATAACTCCACTAAACAACTCAGGCTTCCGATTCACAACATGTCTCGTGATCAAGCCCCCCAATGAATGAGCAATCACCAGAGCGCCAGTGGGCTTTTCTCCATTAGGACCTGGCTGATTGGATGGTAATGTCTCCAAGAAGGCTTTCAGCTTTCTACTTAAAAGATGCGGACTTAACCTCCAATCATATCCATAATCCCATACTCTGAGTTTCCCATTTTGTGCATTTTCGCAACTGCGAAGTCGTTTGAATAAGCGCCTAGATATATCCACTGGTCCAATGTTTTTAAGCATCCCAGATGGGATTATATTTTCTTCCATTCTTTCCTCGTCCTCTGGATCCAAACCAACTTCCAGGTCCACTTTACGGAGATTAAGTCCTACCTTGACAGGCACCCAAAGTTGATGATTTGGTGCTTTAGCAGATCGGAGTATCGATCCTCGATATCCACCCATAATTACGACATCGCCCGTCAAATGTTCCATAGCCTTATCCAAAGCGCTTGTAGGTTTCGTCGACGACCGAGTATTCTCACCACCAAAAAATGAATCGGATTTCGAAAAGGAGGGACTCGATTCGAGTGGTTTCTTTTTTATAACTGCTGGTAATACGTCTGAATGTGCATCAGTAATTGACCTTGATCTGTACGACGCTGGGCTGGAATTCAAAAAGTTCATGCTAAAGCCAAAACTGGGTACGCGGGGCATACTTGGCATACTGGGAAGTTGTGGCATTCGGAAAGTCGATCGATCTTGAAAAGAGTCTCTGATAGCTTTGACTCGAGAATTAACTTGTTCGCGGTGATTTTCGAATCGTGTATCATCACCTAGTGAGGAACTTCGAGATAAGCTATGATATAGTAATGAATCATCAGATGTTGCTCTGCGAAGAACCAATGGCCTTTCTGTTGTGTTATTATTGCTCGCTATACTCGCATTCTGAAGTTGTGAATGGCTATGACGTTGTGATGGATGGTATTGAGTGGTGAGGTGCCCCTTTACCTGATTGTTATTCGTAGATGATTGCCCTCGCCTTTTAATTGACTAGGCGAGGTAGAAAAAGGGGAGAACGTGGCGCTTCTTGGCGAACTAACAGATGACCGAGACTTATGATTCGAGCTCGTTGATGTACTAAATAAGTTTCCTACTTGAGCCATTGAAGGTAGCCCCTTTGGCAGCAGTTTTTTAAGCGCATCAGCACTACTAGATAATGAACTTTGACGCTTCCTCCCATTCCCGTTATTGAATACACTAGCCATTGCTGATGTGCGATTATCATTTGGTGGTTCTGTAACGACAATTGGCTTCGGTCCTGCCCGCCATGGCGAAGGAGGAGATGGCAGAGGTAGAGCAGGAAGTGGTTTGTGTGAAAGGTTCGGTGATGGTGATGTCTCCAATGACAATCCTTCCCCCTTTGTAGTTGTTGGTAACTCTTCATCGAATGGCCCATTCGCAGTTGGCTCTAATGCTAGCGGAGTCTCCGGGTCGCTGTCAAAATAACCTCCTTCCAAATTATCCATGGCGGCAGCCTTCTCTGCAGCAGGTGTTCTCGAAGTTCTCAAACGTGAAGCTGCATGACTGAGTGAAACTCCGATGATAGATTGTGCATCCTCATCTGATATATGAGGAACTGTCATGGTTTCTGTTTCGTCCGAGAAATCATCGCTGAATTCGTATTGATCTGCCGCAATGGTAGTTGACGTTGAAGCATGTAATGGCTCGATGCCCTTCTGAGGGAAGGGTTTTGAAGCCATTGTCCGGTTCCGTCTTTGTTCCCGATTATTTCCTGCTTTATAACCTGTTTACATTAATTATTTCTAATCCATTCTTATTATGATTTGCAATATAACTTTGAGATGTGGCAGGAAAGAAAAGGAAGAGAAAGCTGAAGACGTTTTCCGCTGTTTCCGGATGCGATACGATAGATACGATAAGCCTTATGGAGCCTCCAACAATTTTTTTAACCATTTACTAGGATATTTCCTGTTTGAAAGAGTTGTTTGATATTATGATTCGTGAGAATGTGGAATTTTCTTCTAGTCTAGAGCTCGAATTCTTTTGGGGAGATTGGTTGCGGCGTAAACAACGAGCATCAGGAAGTCCATAGCTTCGATAGCTCGTTGTTCATCCTGCCAGTGCGTGCCAGCAAAGTCGATTCCACTTGTAGTTGACGTAATCGAGGAGTGGCAGTGGGGATAGACGGACTCGCGGAGTTTGTCAATTGTGAAAGTTTCAAGTCTTTCATAAGTAATTGGCTGATTGATTGATTGATTGATTGATTGATTGATTGCTTGATGATACCTACCTTTCTTCCCACCTACCTATTTAGAAGAGACGCATCGTCAGAGATGCGACTATTTTCATCCATATCTTGAGTGGAGAAGAAATGAAAAGATTGAAGATTATGTGATGTGATGTGAAGGGATGTATCGTATGGGGAAGAGAGAGGAAAGGAAATTGCATGTGAAATCATGTGAATGGACCCTTACGTTGAGAATTCTGTGTAAGGTTACAACTTACCTGTATCATTATGTTTTTGGCAACGTTTTTCTTGTACGACTAAGACGACTGATGCGAAATAGCCAATTAGATTCATCTATTGAGTGTTATGTAGCCAGCCTTGCCTATATCTATCAAGAATACGCATACGACGTATCGCTACCGAGTACCTACCTGCGTCCTTGGTATATACATATATATATTACACCTATTACAAATATATATACATACACACATACATACTACAAATATATATAACTATATATACATACATATATACATACATACATACTACAAATATATATAACTATATATACATACATATATACATACATACATACTACAAATATATATAACTATACATACATACATACATACATACATACATACATACATACATACATACATAGTATCTATTGCATACACCATTCGCACAGCATTTTTTACCAAACCCAGAGACCTTACCTAATACCTCCTACCTACAAAGCATCCATCAAATTCTTGGTCCACCCACAATACATGTCCCCCAACGACCGGTTGCAGCGGACACCATCCAAAATCCCGCACCCGAAGTTACCGGACTCACCGGACTCAACAGCGATCGATGAATGGACCTCCTTTCCCGCCAATTGCCTGTGACATACTAGGGATATCCATATCCGCACAGAATCATACGGAATATATATATTTCTACAATTACGATGCAAGGATTCCCTGATCCCATCCATTCCAATGATCCCATCCTCTCATCCATCTCAATCCAATCCAATCCAAATCGAGTACTCCGTACACAGCCCCTCACGTTTTCAGGGGCGAGATCAACATAATTTCCTTATGCTTGAAAACCAAAAAAAAAAAAAACACTCTCACAGGTGAAACACTCCTTCTTGGCGATCCGGGGAAACTTTTTTTTTAATGAATTTCTCGTATTTTTAAGTGGTTCAATTTGATTCATCATTCATCATAGTTATTCACACGAAACTGGAATGTCTCTCGAGGTTTCATTCAATCATGTATGTTATCATGTAAGGTTACTAGGGAATCACGATTTAATCTGATGCAGTTCATTCATTTCACGCAAGATGGAAGGTGAAATTGAAGGCAATATTGAAATGCGAAATAGATACAGTATATCAAACAAATAATCTTAATTCGGAATTAATGTTACTTAATTACTTCAAGACAAGCAGGAGGGATGGCCCAGCCCAACTCTCTACCCATTAGTTCTCGAGCAATTCCAATTCTGCATATTTCTTTGAAATGTTTCCATCCCACGATCCATACCAGTCCATCATGTAAATATCCAGAATTAAGATATAAATGTCGATGTTGAAGAAAAAAAAATTGCGCGTAGGAAGAAAAAACTTCTGATCCAAACTGTCGTTGCCCAGACCAGACTCTAATAGAATAAACAAAGTAAACAACACCCCCGTAAGGTATCTATCCCCTTTTTCGTAGACCCAAGCCAAAAATAACTTGTACCGGCGCCCGAAAAATTCCATTGTGATGCAAATGCGTGAAAATTGTCGATAGGTGAGCAATCAGATGCTTACAAGAGGAAAGCAGCGAGTCCGAAGACGGCGGCGATGGCAGCTCCTCCAACTTGAACATTGGCGGCGGCACCGGTGAATGCAAGTGGGGTTTGGGTAGCAGCTGGGGTGGTACCGTTGGCTGGGACGGAGATGTATCCAGTGGAAGATGGCTTGGCGGAAGCGGCTGGGACACCTGGAGCAGTGGTCTCGAGTCCGGAGAGGGAGATGGTGGAGTAGATGACGGTTGGGATACAGGTGGTGATGGCAACGACAGAGACGGATGGAGCGGGGGAGGAAACAACAACACCGAGGGAAGAGCCAGCGGAAGAGGCAGCTGGTGTGGCGTAAGTTGGGGTGAAGCTGGCTGGCTTGCTGGAAGCTGGAGCGCTGGAGGCTGGGGCAGAAGCTACTGGTGCGCTGCCAGCTGGGGAGGATGCAACTGGTGCGCTGCTAACTGCGGAGGATGCCACTGGAACCAAAACGCTGGTAGCTGGCTTGCTTGAGGCTGGAGCACTTGAAGCTGGGGCGGAAGCTACTGGTGCGCTCGAAGCTGGGCCGGAGGCGACTGGTCCACTGTTGGATGGCTGACCGGCTGGGGTAACAGATGAAGGAGCAGCCTCAGTAGAGGAGGTTCTTGAGTAGATGGTGGTGGAAACTTGGGTGCTGCGAGCTGGGCAGTCGGTAACAGTTGCGGCGCAAGAGGTGATGGTGACTTCCTCAGTGACCTAAGGAAATATTAGTCAGGTGCCCTTCAATCTCTTCAATAAAATCTTGTTCAAACTCACGTAGTCAGTGGAAGTGGCAGCCATGGCGGCACCAGCGAAGATGGAAACGGCGATAACGGAGAAACGCATTTTGAATATTATTTGAGTTTTGAGGGTTAAAGGTGCTGAAGAGCGGTGATAGAGGGTTTACTGAATTTGATCTGTTGGGTTTGTTCTGTAAAGAATGGACGACCGAAGTCAAAAGAAGATATGTATGATCTGGAAGATTGACTTGTTTGGATGAAGAAGAAAAGTGAATAGAGGAGGGGCAAGTCAACCCCATATAAGCTTGGGAGATTAAACAAAGATGGGAGATGGGCTTGGCCGCTTAGGAGATTGACCAGGAAGAGCTGCTTTTCAGCGGTCCCATGTGGAGAGACTTTCCACACTTGCCCACCACTAGGCTAGCAAAGAATACCCAATTCGTAGTTGGATTTACAGGGGAATCACTCTCAAACCGGTAGTCGTGCAAAGTAACTTTTGCTAGGGCTAATATGTGTAGCCATTTGGTGACCAATGTATACACCGCTGACCCAAAGGCAAACTTAGCCTCCTTATGACATCCACTCTAATTAACAGGAGTGTGAGGGATGTTTTTTTCCCATTTCTCACGTTTGGTTTCGGGGGATTCCAAACATTCAACCTATGAGAAGTTGTAGACCTAGTTCATCCGTTCCTTGCGATTTGACGTTTCGTGGCTTGATTTTCATGCGCACCGAAGGAAGGCCGGACCAGAGAAAATGCATGGTTTGAAAGTCTTGGTGGCTTTGTGCCGGAGTAGCGTACACTACAGGGTCGATCTAAATTCATCTAACGCAGGAACAAGACCAATTAGCGGTTGAATTCCCTTTGGTTGATCAAGTGAGAACCCCTATAAATTTTACTTCACCCTAAGCCTGACATTTGTCTGACTAGGAGCTCTAGGAATGATTATCCATCCCAAAAGCTCCTCCAAATGTAACTTTAAGGCGTAGGTCCCTTCTGTATCTCGATTGACTCCAGGTTTTGGATCAATTATTTAATCTTCTTGAAATCCTTCCATCTCACCAATTCATCCTAAGGCTTATCCAAAGTCACATTTAACGGTTCAAAGCTTCTAATTCAAGATCATCTCAGATTCCTGATGATGTGGCTGTGGCTGAGGCTGATGCTGATGCTGATGCTTTTGCTGTTGCTGTTGCCGTTGCTGTTGCCGTTCTATCTTGTAATCATATAATCATGCACGGAATGTGAATATGGATGCTGTGCAGCTCCAGTTTACTTTAGATGATTGTTTCACAAGTTGCTCGAGTAGACACTCACGGGAGTCAGGACAGTGAACAAGTTCTGTTCATCCATCTTCAAATCATTATGATTCAATACATGCCCAAATTTGATAGGCTCGATGAATTAGATGCTCCATATATTCCCATGTCCACTCACAGTCCCAGTCACTCATGATTCAAATCCCATTCTTTAATAAAAAATGATCAGACCGTGCTTCGTCCCAGACTCCCAGACTCCCAGTCGTCTGCGTTCCATTTAAGCATCTTTGTGAACCTGGTAGAAAATCGTCGACTCAATTTCCAAATATATTCAATTCTCAGTCCTCATCGGGATGAGAGACTCCAAAATTGGTTGATCATAATTTCAAGTGATAATTGTATCTTGGAGGAGATTTAATCACCGTGTTTTTGAAGATGTCTATTTTCGTATCTCCATCATGGAATGAATCCGCAAATGATGCGATTTGATTAATGAACCTTACTCGGCACGAAATCTCTAAGATTTGCTTTGTAAATTGCAGAATTTACAATACGAGCTTCATCGTGGTCGAATTACCTAGATACGGAGCACTCATTTGAACCAAGATAATGTTGCCGTGTTCACACTTCATTGATTAAAGATCTCTTTCGGGTTTTGTTAACTCCATAATTTCTACAACAGAAATGAGGCCATTTACTATCGCTGTCGAAAACCCGATATGGCTTTTGCTGGATCGACTGATTTGATACACCGGCGTCTTCTGTGCGGTTGTTTCCTCCACAATACTCGAGCACCTAGTACCGACACCAGCGAGCTCCCTAGTAGCTTCCAGCTTATCGACAAATGCCAAGATATCGAAGATTCGCCGGTAGATTGTATACAGCCGTGAAAAGGGGCATGACGGTGAGCTTGTCATACATGCTTTGAAAATATCAATGCATGGAAATGGTTTATGCAACTGTGCAAGTTCGTCATCATCTACGAGTTATCAACGTGGAATTTCGTCTATTTCTGGGATCTTCTCATCGTACACAGTTATCGACCTTCATCTGAGTCTGGATAAGAAGTCTGGATAAGATTCAAGTCTTACCATCCCGTACACTGGTTTTACTTACTTTTCGCAGTGTATGACGACAACAACTTGTGTTCAACGCCATGATCATGTCCCCGAATGCAAATCACTACGTTACATCAAAATGATCGACAGATGATAATGCGTTTACTATCACTATCCATGGTCTTACAAGAAGATACAAGACGACATACGTCAATTGATTGACAAAGTTCCCGTGTGTACTCGATTAATTCACATTGCGTCCGAGAATAATTCAACAATCCGAGGGCAAGATATATATACTATATATACCTAGGTACATGGTACATACGATAGAATTCTGCTATTCAATTTCAAAAAATATTCATAGATCTGATAGTCCTGTTGATCATCCATCCATATCATCATCAACACTCAGTCTCAATAACAAACGGCTGTCTGGACATCACGGTTTGATTTGCGCGTCGTACAAAAAGAGTACATATTTTCTGACAACAACATCTCAAGCACATACGACCATAGACTGAAGAGAATTGGGCATCCCGTCCGCTCTGCCATACACAAGCTTCAGATCGGTGGATTAGTAGTTGGGTGGGTGACCACCAGCGAATCCCCACTGTTGTATGTAAATATTCGTTTTGCCTGTCGTAACTCACTTTTGGGTCATCGAGTCGTCCCTCGTCAGAAATTCATATGCTGGGATGAGAGTCACCGAGCCTCATTGTTACAGGTGCATGCCATTTGCCTTGTTTCTGCTGAGCAGACTTTTGTTTTTCGCTCGAGATCCACCTTTGTCCCTTTTCCAGCTGAGAGTCTGCTAGATTTTTTGCGTGATTGGAGAAGCAACTTTATGTTCTACATCAGTTTATTTATAGCAATATCGCCACCAGATCTCCGCTATAGGTGATATGCGTTCCTTGCAATATTTCGCTGCGAAACTACCATCATCGCAGAAGTCTATGCAGTGCCGGAGGCCACTAAGGGTACCCCATGTTTCTGGATTAATGCAAATAATCATGGAGACGGAGTCTGAATTCACTGTCGCTTGGTGTTATTATCATCATATTCTCATACAACATCTTCAAATCAACACTACTTCTTACTACGACCTCCTCATAAAGTTACCTCTACTGTAGACTCTACATGCATTATTCATCTTAGAATCTACCCGCGCTCCAACACCACGCCTGTCGACATCTTGCTCGCCTCCTAACATTTTCAAGGTAGAATCATTGTTGAAAGATAAATGCGAAGTTTATATAGATAAGAATGAGGTTGGTTTTTGGACGAGAAGGATGTGGAGATGCGGTTCTCTAGGTGATGGTTAGGATTTCGGGTGGATGTGAATCACTCATACCTTCTACAGCATGGGCATTTTGTCACAAACATACCAACGGCTTGAATTTCAGTGAATTCCTCGTTTGCATTAAAATCGCCCCTGGAGAATATAAAAGCTCTATCCCAAGTTTGCCTTACCCAGATCAAGACCAGGCAAGGCAAGGCAATTCGTAGGACAGACAGTCGCACAATGGCTTGCCACCCGTCATCTGATTATATCATTGAGCCGAGAGGTTATTCGGAGACATAGGGACAGTACTTACCATACAAAGATTTGACCTCATTTCGTCCCATTTTATCACGAGTATATGTATCTACTATTATTGTTATCATATCTCCAACTTCACCGAGTTCGTGCATCCCATTCCCCGATCCCTGGGTAGACATTCAGAGTTGAAGTGGACCTGAAATACAACGCCATCTGCGAATTTTCATTCGATGCAAAGTGTATAAATGTGTATGCAATCACTGTCTCTGAATATCTTGGAACTGCTCTTACTTGTTCTTTCTCTCTGGCCGATCACTGGATTGGTTCTAATTTAAGAATGAAAGAGAAGAAGAAAAAGAGAAGAAAAGTAGTCGATCGCGACATTCTTGTTTGAGATCTAGGCATTCTGGATAAGCTCTCTTTGTTCGATTTCTAATAATCTTAGGATGAAAAAGCTAGCGTTAGTTGGACAGCATAATTTCGAGTGCGATGTACATATATTTTTAGAATATCGTGCGATCGGGTATGAATGGGATGGGTGCGAGTAGAATACAGACAATAGTGTAAAAAAATATCATTCTAGTCGTGATCAGATAACTTTCCTTTCCCTCGCTGGTGTTCGTGCATCTAATACCTATACCGTAAGAAGATCGCATCATACATTTTGATAATCCCATCTCCCAGCTATCAAACCCTAAAAATCTCACGGAGATGTATCCTAAAACTAGACATTACTTCCATATAACTCACACCTCGCAATATCCTATAACAACGATAACCATCTTATTAGAATTTCAGGTCAAAAGCGCAATGTGAATCATCATATTATCATATCTTCAAAGAGAGTGAATGGATATCTTTATTCCTCGCGCTCTATTTTTATCTTTCAACCCCATCCCATCCCATCCCACCATCTATATTTAGCACAAAGCCACCAGGTTTTGCAACTTCCCCAGGGGATAGATGATGCATTGCATTTCTTTCTACATTCATGGGTGTGAAGGTGCAGAGAGAGACGAGATGGAAATTGTTGGTTCTACTGTATGTAGGTAGGTAGATAGGTGGCCAAGTTTGACAAGTCTCCGCATCACGGATTTTCGTAGCAAGTTTGGGAGGGTTGAATAGAGCGATAGATAGTTTAGAGAGGAGATGAGATGAGTGGGATGGTAATTATCGTTATCTCTAATAATCTCACAGGATTTTTGTCCTGGAACTTTACTCGTAGATAGTACCTAGGTAGCTAGCTATAGATGGGATGGAGAAGTGGTAAATCACATACCCTCCTCCTAAGTCGCAATACTTGGTCTCTCATACAGAAAGTTAACAGAAGTACTGTAGGGTATCTTTACCAGTTTTCTTGATAGAGT